TATCCTACAACTCGAGTGTGTCCCTTGTCTTCATAGAGTAAGCCTTTTCCTGGAGCTCCTTTAATATATTTCAAGATGCGAATCACAGCTTCCCAATGCCCTTCACAAGGAGAGTTAAGAAATTGACTTACCACACTAACAGGAAATGAAATATTTGGGCGAGTAACAGTGAGGTAATTCAATTTTCCAACTAATCTTCTATATTTTCCAGGATCGGAGAGTGGCTCCCCTTGAGCTGGCATAAGTTTAGCATTGGGATCCATCGGAGTGTCAACTGGCTTGGAATTTAACAGTCTTGTCTCCTCCAAAATATCCATAGCATACTTCCTTTGTGAAATCACAATCCCCCGTTTGGATTGGGCAATCTCTATGCCCAAGAAATAACGAAATCTGCCGAGGTCTTTTGTCTAGAAATGATGACAAAGGTGTTGTTTTACCTGTGTGATTCCATGATGATCATTACCTGTAATGACAATGTCGTCCACATACACAATTAAGTAAATACACTCAACAACTGAGTGACGATAAAACACTAAATGATCAGCTTCACATCGCGTCATACCAAACTCTTGAATAACAATGCTAATCTCTCAAACCAAGCCCTAGGAGATTGCTTAAGTCCATACAAAGACTTATGAAGACGACAAACTAGTCCAGAAGACTCCCCCTGAGCAACAAACCCAGGAGGTTGCTCCATATAAACTTCCTCACACAAATCACCATGGAGGAATGCGTTCTTGATGTCAAGCTGGTAAAGGGGCCAGTGGCGAATAGCTGCCATAGAGAGAAATAATCGAACCGAGGCCATTTTAGCCACGGGAGAGAAGGTGTCACCATAATCTAGGCCAAACAACTGTGTATAACCTTTGGCCACTAAACGTGCCTTGAGACGATCAACTTGTCCATCAGGCCCAACTTTGACTGTGAAAACCCACCTGCAACCTACAACCGATTTTCCAAGAGGAAGAGGAATAAGGTCCCACGTGCCACTGTTCTGAAGAGCGCACATCTCATCAAGCATAGCTTGTTTCCAGCCAGGTGAGATAAAGCATCACCTACAGTCTTGGGAATAGACACAGAAGACAAAGAGGAAATACAAGCATAATGCAAAGAAGACAAGCGATGATAAGACAAATTAACATAATGAGGAGATGGATTATGAGTGGAACGTATACCTTTGCGAAGTGCAATTGGGAGATCAGTCTCAAGGGGCAGGACCGGAGGGGACGAAGGAGTTGGATCCGGAGGGGAGTCTATGGTGATTTCTGCATTAGTTGATGGTAGTGGAGGTGGTCGTGGTCGACGCCGATAAACGTGCAAAGGAGCTAATGGGGGTGGATTGGCTGGCAAAGGAGACAGAACTACGTTTGGTGGGGCAGTAGTGGGAGATGAAGAAAACATGGGTGATAGGGACTCAGACCTTGTAGACGTCCCAAAGTAAGGGACTGACTCAAAGAATGTGACATCAGCAGAGACGAAATATCGACGAAGAGACGAGGAGTAACATTTATATCCCTTTTGGGATCTTGTATAGCCTAAGAACACACACTTATGAGAACGAGCTGAGAGTTTGTCTAGTCCAGGACTAACATTATGGACAAAACATGTAGACCCAAAGACTCTAGGCTGCAATGGGTGAAGATACTGGTGAGGAAATAGAATAGAGTGAGGGATCTGATTGTTGAGGACAGATGATGGCATCCTATTTATGAGATAACAAGCCGTAAGGACAACATCACCCCAAAAATGTTGAGGAACATTATTGTGAAGTAAGAGTGTCCTAGTGGTTTCAACTAGGTGTCTATTTTTACGTTCAGCGACTCCGTTTTGTTGTGGTGTGTGAGCACAAGACATTTGATGAAGCATACCGTTAGTAGCCATGAAAGTTTGAAATTGAGTAGATAAATATTCTTGAGCATTGTCACTGTGCAAAGTACTAATGGATATACCAAACTGATTTTTGATTTCATTATAAAATGTTTGAAAAATAGCAAATAACTCCGATCGATTTTCCATTAAAAATAACTAGGTACATCGAGAATAATCATCAATGAAGGTAACAAAATACTTAGACCCTAAAGTGGAAACAATGCGACTAGGACCCCAAACATCCAAATGAACTAGAGCAAACGGAGACTTAGAACGACGATTGACACGACTCAGAAAAGAACTACGAACATGTTTTCCTAATTGACAAGACTCACAAGACAACGTAGATAACTTGGAAAGGTTGGACACCAACTTTTGCAGATGGTTGAAGAAGATAAAGACCATTAAACTCACATTCAGTGCCAATCATTCGTCTCGAACTCCGGTCCTGCAAGAAAAAAGAATCTTTGGTGAATGAGATCGTACAATCAAGAGATTGAGTCAAACGACTTAGAGACAATAAGTTAAACGGAGATTCGGGTACATAAAGAACATTAGTAATGGAGAGCAAGGGAAAAAGGTGGATAGTACCAGTACCCTGAGATTGAGTTTGGGAGCCATTTGCTAATGTGACAAAGGGTAATAAACCAAAAGTAGAGAATGAAGAAAAAAGAGATTTATTACCAGTAATGTGATCAATGGCGCCTGAGTCAAGGATCCATGGGCCAAGAGATGTGGAGTGAGAAAGACCAGCAAAAGAATTATTCTTGTGCGCAACAGAGGCAGTGGAACTAGCGGTCTGACGCTCCTCATACCACTTGATAAAGTCGTTGAAGATAGCAGGTGAGGTGGCGGAATCAGTCGGAGTAGCAGCCTGTGGAGGTGGAGCGGTCTGGGTAACGTGGGCAGTCCGAGGAGAGGGACGTCCATGTAAAGCATAACACCGATCAATAGTGTGGCCAAGCTTATGACAATGATCACACTTAGGACGAGGCTTTCCTGTCTTCTGAAAGTGGCCACGATCACCACCCGGAGTACGATTACCTCCTTGAGAAACCAAAGCAGATGAATCAACTGGTGTGGGTGGGACTCCACCGTCAAATGATGGTTTTGCTGGGACACGCAGCAAAGTAGACCATGCAGTATCCAGAGTGGGGATTGTAGGAAACTCCAATATCTGATCGCGAACAGACGAATACTCTGGAGGTAGGCCATACAGAGCTAGAAGCATGAAGAAGGATCGACGTTGTTCAAGTTTCTTAGCAGTGGTAGCAGCTGGGAAGACCTTGAACACGGCCCAAGTATTCAGCCATAGAACCATCCAGGTGACGAGGGGAAATAATATTCTGCAAATTTTGACACACTCCATATAAGCGTTGTGTATCATTGGTATAAAGGATCTTAGCATGTGCCCAAACAGATTCACAAGTCTCATGAGAACGAAAGATCTGTTTCAAGGTTAGACTAATGGTCGACTTAATGAGACTGCAGAGTTGAGCATCAATTTTCTTCCAACGAGCACTATCAGTGGCAGTCACCGAGTCAGCCTTCGTAGTGAGGTGATCTTCATAGGCCTGTCCCCGGAGCCATAACTTGACGTCGGAAGCCCAAGAATCATAGTTAGTACCGTCCAATTTATCAACGGCAAGAGGAGTAGTGATATAACTTGTGAAAATAGGGGCCTCAGCCCTTGGAGGGGGAACGGCGGCCATGGATTCCAAAAACGGTGAGAGAAGTGACTAAAAAAAAATGGAAGATCTGAGAAGGAATATCGGAAACCGGAGATGAAGCACGATTACCGGAGAAAAAAAATTGACGCCGATAGATAGTAGATCTACCGGGAAAGCACGGATTAGGGTTGCCTCTTGTTAGGCTCTAGATACCATGTTGAATAATGAGAGAACAAGAGGAAGGTTGGATTGAATCCGCGTGTGTGAATTACACATCGGAGCTCATTATATATAATAGGAGGCATAAATGTCATAGTAATTACATAATATTCTATAATAATTACATAATATTCTATTTCCTATTTACATGATATCCTAATTACTTACAGAATATTCTATTTACATAATATGGAATATTCCAATATCTAACCGTTATGAACCGATTGAATTGGTCAAAACCAGCCCATTTCGATTCAAAAGAAAACTGGCGCTCTCGCCTTTCAATATCTGATGCAGCTTACTGGTGTTTCAAGGCGAGTCTTTTCAATGTTTGTTAGTAATTAATTAACTTCTTTTGTTCCCTGATAGTAATTGGAATTCAATGCGCTGCTTTTCCAACTTTATAAGCAGCGGACATCATGAAACCCACTTGTAAGCAGCAGCAATTTTGTAGTTATTACTTATTAGTCTAGAAAAAAGCTTTGATATAATTTCCTAAAAAACGAAACTTACACTGGTGGGATTTGATACCACATCCAGAAGCCTAGTTTAATTTAAAATGGAACCACCATGCCACATAGCTTATTTAGTTTTGTATATGATTTTATAATATTTAACCGTGTAACTTACTAACAAATAAAATGCGTGGGCACGGATTTATCACGTGTGTGCTGGTAGTACTAAAGATAAATGACATTCTCTTCACTAAATATATGATATAGATATCATAGAAATTTATTAATTAATATACACCAATTCATGTAGTTCAACAAGTGATCCACTAGTTCAATAACTTATAGAAGGTATTAGAAAAAGAAACTTCTAGATTATACAATGTACTACTCTAATCTAGAGCTAAGCACACAAAACAGAAGAACACAACAGTAGGCAATTAGAGCATCAGCTAACAGCATAGCAATCATAATTCATAAAAATCTCACTCACAGAAACCAATAAATTAGTATCAAACCATAGATCAATAACTTTCCTAGATTATCCATGAATCACAAACATCATAGTAAATCATATTATTGGAACTAGGGTTTTAAATAGAGGTCCGAAACCGTGATCTAGACCGCAATGTAACCAAAATGAGGCATCAACTAAGGCCACATTTAACCATGATTCTCCCCAATATCAATAATTGTGACACAATCGTTACCACAGCCGCTATTTAAAACCCTGAGTCGAACAACTATTTGGAAATTATCCTAAAAAAATCTCAAAGAGAGAGAAACAAACCCTGTACAAACTCTGGACTCCACCAATTTTGAGAGCTGTGTCAGTGCCTCCCTTGACACCTTAGCCTTCTGAAACTCACTGTCTTGTCTATACCCTTCTTCACCATCAACAAATGCATGTCCTGATTTTATATCTATACAAAGCACAAACAAACTCAAAACATCAAATATATAACTTGAGAGTTAAATATATTCTTAGTCCAACAAAATTTAATTTTTTTCCCTGACTCATGTATCATAGGTTTTATAAAATGGTCGCAGTCACATAAAAGCTTTCGCAATTTCAGTTAGTACAGGTGTTACGACACTGATTGAGGTCGTCACCGTGTGAATCAACCACAAATTGTTCTTTAACATAAAAATGGTGAATAACAGTATCAGTATCAGCATCCGCCAATCTGCCAATAGAGTTTTGTCGCGGCCGCGACTAAAACCTATGAACTATCAAAAGTTTTAAAAAACCGTCGCAGTCGCGTAAAGGCTTTTGCAATTTCGGTCAGTACGGGCGTCACGGATTGTGGTAGTTGATGTGTGAATTAACCACAATTTATTCTTTAACATAAAAACGGTTAATAACATTATCAATATCGGCACCTGACAGTACCGATTTGTCGCGGCTGTTACCGTCGTTTAAAACCTATGAACTATCCACTCATACAAATTACAAAACTGCATGCAATTAGTTCAACATACTTAACACTAAATAATAACACATACTAACCAAAAAAACTATAAAAAAGAATTTGCTTCAAGTTCTATGCTAATTCATGAAACGGCAACAATCATAACCCTACTACGCTGTTCAAATTCAACAATTCCACTACAAAACAATGAAAATCAAAAGCTGAATTCAACGATTCAAAAGGGAACTTCAAAACGAAAAACAAGAACCGGCACAAAATAATTGAGAATTGAAGAGAGAAGGTGGAGGAGATTACCACAGAATCTTCGATAAATCTCGAAGATGTCGATCTGAGACGCATCCATGGAGAAGAAACTTGTCCTCGAAGTGGCGAAAGGATGAAGATGAGGTAGAAACCGCAATGTAACAAATAGATTTTTATTTTCAAATTTGTTGAGACTTAATTAGGTGATGTGAGTTTATATCTATATACTATTGTTACTCACACGAGAAGATTAGTGTTAAATCTTCAATAAGATTATAAGATTTGTTTTTAAATGGAAAGTTAGTTAGTTGGGTTGGGTTGGGTTGGGTTGGGTTGGGTTTGAGTTTCTAACTCGTTTAAATTTGACAATTTCTTAATGAATTCTATTTTTTTTCTAGCGCACCGTACGAAAGTATATTTGTTTATTGTAAAAATTAGTAAACAACCGCTGATCTTCTAAAAAAGGTAATTTTTGGTTACTTGTATGATAGATCAGTTTGATCCTAGGACATATGTTAAATATTTGTGTTGTTTTGATAAAAATGTTAATTTTAATAAAGAACACATTCGACTGAGAAAGGTGGAGGTTAGATGCAGACGAAAACTTGATAAAAGTGCAAGTAAAAGTAAGTAGAAAGGGGTTGAGAAGAGTTTAAGTGTAGAAATCTGGTAAAAAGTGCAAGTAAAATGCAAGGGAAAATAAACTTTGCAAGTAAGATAAAAGGCTGTAAGTAAGAATGGCAAGAAATGTAAAAGACTTTGATTATAAAATATGGTGTTTCAAACGTACATTCTCAGTATTCTTTCTCACGCAGCGGGTACTCGAATAGTATTGAGTGACTTGTACAATTAGTTGAACACACAGAAATCTACATAAACTTTCTATATTTATACTAGTAAAAAGCAAATGCTAGACGATTACTTCGATCCAGGATTAGGACAAGTGTCCTTTGCATGTTCTTCGATCTCCAACTTCATGTCACGTTGCTTTCTTCAACTGTCAGGTGAACTGCTTTTCTCTCCTTTCTTCAGATTTGACATCACTTGTTGCTGATACGAACGCTTCCAGGTCAAAGGCTCTTACAAGATCGAAGCCTCTGGGTCGTAGACCATTTCTAACTTAGAGAACTCTCTAAGTGTTTTCTCCTTCTTAACAAGGATGACTTCGATAGGTCTTCTCAAAGGCTCTCAATTCGAAGTATCTTCGAATTAGACTATGTTTCTAAATCGAAGGGTCTTTAATTTAGACTTCTTCAATCTCTTAGATTTCTTCAATCTATTTTTATCCAATACGGCCAATGTATCTGAGTGTCGAATTTAGGAGCTAACAAATTGCCCCCCGAGAATGTCAATTTCGACGCTAGAAGAAATGGTCATTCTTTGATATTCTTATTCGACACATGTCTTCTTTTTGGCCACAAAAGTCAATTGTGCGCTTTTCACCTTCTACCAACCACTGCTGGTACTCAAAGTCATCATTACTCTTTTCCCAAGACGTTACTAACTGTCAGTCGATTTCACGCTGCCATGATGGTCATTATCCCTACAACCTAGAAAGGTATGGCAAACGTTTCCATCACATGTACGATAACTTCCTCAACGGTCGCCACGTGCCCCACTAACTCTGCAGCATTAAATGGTTTTGAGAGCACTCTTCCCTGGACACTATAAATAGCCACGAATTCTCTTCTTTGGAACTTTTACAACTCCTAATATTCCTTATTTCCTTGCAAAAAGAAATCTTAAGAACTTCATATTTTTCATTCTTTTACTACCCTCAACCATGGCTTTCCTTTCAAATGCACCAAACAATCCCAATACCAATAACGTTTCTGACTTACAACAATAACCATAAATCTTTTCCACTAGTTTTGTTCTTGCTTCGACTGGGGAGCGAAGGGTTATTTCTGAACCCATGACTAGAGAATGGCGTGAAGCTTACGATTCTCAGGTACTTATTCCCGTTAGGTACTTTGGGCACATGTACGCCATGTCTGGTCCACTATCTGCATGCGTTGAGAACCCCAAGCAGAATAATGCCATCTTCCCAACTCACCCTAGGCTCAAGCCTATAGGTTGCGCGAAGAAACCCAAGAATGATCCTGAGGATGCTACTCCTGCTAACCAACATCACTATCAAACGAAGGAAGAAATAAACATTCAGTTTATAAACAAGGGGAACAGGATCTTTCGATCTTGCCCTAGCCTTACTTCAGAGTATTCAGAATGGCTAAGTAAGATGGAAACAGTGCAGACCCAAATCTGGAAAGATATGGGGATTTATGACTTGGTCATGTTATCAAAGTCTGGGTTACCTTATTTCCCTTTTATGTTGGTATCTTCGCTGTACTTCTGGGATAACACGTATTTCACTTTCCATTTACCCTGTAGAATGGTGACTCCAATTCTTTTCGATATAGCAGCCATTATTGGTCTTCGATCAACTGGTGACTATTTCGACCCTAATGATTTATCTGAAGATACTATTGGGTTTTCGGCCACGAAACCCACATACATTATATTTATCAACTACTTTCACGACAAGTCTAGCAAAACTGTCTCTGAAGTGGAACACATAGCTTTTCTAGCTTTATGGTTGTCTCGCTTCGTTTTCTGCACCAAGTCACTTCAAGTGACTAAGGAGATGCTCACCCTTACGATGCAGCTTCATCATGGCTACAACCTTTGTTTGGCTGAATTGATTTTGGCCAACCTGTATGAGTCCATCAGCAATGGTGTGACTCAGCTTAAAGTTATTGGAGATAAGGCGAGTTTTCTCCTTTTTGGCCCCTTCTGGCTCCTTCAACTTTGGTTCAACACCGCTTTTGAATCTTTTCTTCCTCAGAAGAACAAGATTAATGAGAAGGCCCCAGAAATCTTAAACAGAAGGGTCGAAGGAACTAGATTAGTCCTGTTGACTCCAACTGATGAGGGTCAACAATTCCAGAAAGCGTTTACTAGCTTTGTAATGATGTTTGCAAAGCGTGAGGAATTGGTTTCGACTATGGCTCCCTTCACCAGTCGAAAGGTTGGTCCGGAATGGTTTATTCGACCATATCCACCATCTGATGAAGAGGACCAAGTGGAGGAGTATGTGGCTATCTGGGAATCGTTTCTTTGCCCAAGAATTATGCTACCGAGATTTAAGAGTTCGAAGAATCAACTTAGTTTGATTGCTTATCAATCGAATCTTGTCTCTCGCCAATTTGGCATCATTCAATCACTCCCTTCTCCAATATATCCCCGAGAAAAGTCTATGTTGTTTTATAATGCAGACTATTCAGAGGATGTTACTACCAAGCATATTTGTAGGTACGTTGGTCGAACCGTACTAACTTTGTTCGACTTCAAACTCAACTTTATGTGTTCGCCTATCTTTGAAGACTGGTGGAAGCAATACTATGACGGAGAATTCTTCGATGCAAAAGACTTTGCTGAGTGTTTTCAAGAGGAATTGATACTGGTCTCTGACAAGATCAAAAAAGGTAATCTTTCTTTTCAAAGCAAATGCCTTATTTTCTTTGATTCAATCATTCGACATCTGGCTTATACTTGTTTATTTTCTAGCCGTCAAGAGAACCATTACCAAGAAAGTCGCTGAAAGCGCAAAGGGAGGAGACCTTTCTGTAAAACCTCCACCACAGGTAAATAATTTCTGCTATAACATTCTTTTCAACATATTAATATTAATGCTGATGCTTTCGACTCCTTTCTTTTTTGGGTATTAAGAAAACTACTCCAAAGAAAAGGAAAGTTCAAGAAATTGAAATTTTCAGTGATGAAGAAGAAGAATCTCCTCATGTCCCTCTTAAGAGGAAAAAATTAAAGAAACCAGTTCCTCTTTCTGAACCTCGTCCGAAAACCAAGACCAAGGTTATGGCTACTAAGTCGAGGCCTCCTCCTGTCATCATCAAAGAGCCAATGGAACGAGAAATAGCTGCTAGGCTGAATAATTCCAGTGAAAGTGATAATCCAAGTCCTGGTGCTAAAGTTCCACCACGAGTAACAACTTCTACCATCTAAAAATCTTCTTTGAATTATTTTACAATAATTTTAATAATACTCTTTTGATCCTCAGGACACTACTGGCACTTCCAAACAGGCTCCTACACCTGTAGAAGAATATGTCACTTTAATAAACAGTGAGGGCGATCCCACTTATAGGCCTTCTTCAGCAAATGGATCCTTTGTGAGCTCATCCAATGAGGTGAACCAAACCTCTGAGCATCAAGTTGTAACTGTTGGGGAGCAGAATAAAGAAATCCATAGTGAGGAGAATTCTGACCTGCCACGCACTACTCTCAGAACCTCACTAGCCACTGATGATGAACAAGAAGAGGAAGAGGAAGTTGCTGATGATGCAGTCGAACCGGAGAGGGAGTGCATACCATAAGGAGAGAATTAAAATGAGGATATTCTGGCGGCTGATGAGAGAGATAACCCTGCAGGGGGGAGCAAGAAACCCTACAAATGTTGAAGATGCCCATGTCCAGATACAGGATTTATCTGTCGGAGAAAATGTGGCCCGTGTCACCAATGAGAGAGTCACTTCGACAGGGTCCCGTACTAAGGAGGATTTGGCATTACTAAAACAGAATAATCCTCTTGGCTACTTGAATGCCATACTCGAGGGCAGAGAAAGTTCTTCCGATCAAATTCACAATGCTTCGACTACGTCTGGCAAATCTACTTCAACATCTCCTCTTGAGGAGGCACTTCAGAAAGTCAAGGCGCAACTTTCTAAAGAGATTCAATATTGACCGTAGAGGGAGAACTTGCTGCTCATTCCTTTCTGAAGACCACTTTAAGAGCTTTCGACCTTCTTGCTTCCTCACCTGACATCACCAGCGTTATTTTGGATTTGACTTCGATCATCGATCAGGTCTCATCTGATTACAATCGTCGAAGGACTCTCAATCACGAAATTTAAGAGGCCAATGGCCATGTAGCTGCTGCCTGGAATGTTGCTACTGAATCAGCTTCAAGGCTAAAGGAGTTGTCGAAGGAACAAGAGGCTAGGCAGAAAGAAGTCGGAGAAATTGACCAAAATACAACCAACATGAAGGCTCAGATCAAAGAATTAGAGGCTAAGATTGCCGC